AAAAATAAATTACACTAAGGTGGTAAGAATAAGATCGTATATTAGTATAAAGACAAAAATACAAATAATTCATAGGAAGGAAAAACCCCCGTCAACATTCAAGAAGCCAGGGAAGAAATTTCTGTCATGGAACATCTAAGAGATACTTGCACCCAGAACAAATTCAGTTCGTGTCTGTAGGGAGGTCAACTGGCCAAATATTGAGTTCAGTCCAGCTTAATCAAGATTACAGTGGTCTCTGCCTCATAGTAAGGCTGTTCTGGACTCTTGCCTTTGGCTGGAGAGGATCTGCCAGCAGCTCAATCTCACTAGAGACTCTGCAGATAGGTTTGGGGCTCCTACTGCCTTTCATACCCTTCTGCAAATTGGGAGTTCATAATTTTTGCTCCGATACTTTTCACAATATTCAAATTTTGTAATTATCACCTTTGGATCACACAAGCTGGTGTGCTTCTTCTGTTTGGACTTAGTTGACTCTTCACTTAGATGGCTGCTTGCTTAAATATAAGCCTTTAATACCATAGACACTATTCCAATTGATAGCCGGGCACCATCTACTTTCTTCACCACACTGCTAGCTCCCTTATCTTCAGTGATTATTTCATGAAGGTGAGTGTTGAGCCAGGCCATGATGTAAGAATTCATTGTTATTAAGTTGGAGCTAGGATTCAGTGTGACCCCAGAACAAACTCATTCCTGAATCTATAAATAGTTTGATTGGCTTAAAAAAAAAACACCTTAAGTGACAAGTTCATCTCAAAACAACAAAAAAGGCAATTTATTTTTACTAAAATAGTTGGTCCTGTATATATGTGTGTTGTTATTTTGTTTCCTGAAGTGCAAATAGACACATTTTCCTTAACACCTTTTAACTTTTTTTTGGTTCAACTTAGATTTCATTGTACAAATCAACAAGCATTCATAGTCATACTTAAAGTACAGTACTCCAGTTAACTTGATGTCCAGATTAGTTACATTGTTGATATTCAGCAGATTGAATGGCACTACATATTAGAAAGGAATGTTGTCTTTTAAAAAAACCAAACAAACAACTCTTAGCTCTAACTCCTTTACATGCGGAATCCTCAAGTTTCTTTGCCACTTAAACTTTTTTATGTTCTGAAGATGAGTGAGCACTTGTCAAAGTCTGTCTAAAGTCTGTCTAAAGCCCCAAACCAAAGTCACTGCCATTCTGACTCAAGCAACCCTATAGGACAGAGTAGAATTGCCCATATGGGTCTCAGAGAATTGCCCTTGTGGGATTTTCTTTAAATAGTTTTATTGCCATATAATTCAAATATCATACAGAATTCACTTATCATACTTTCCTTAGGAAAATATCCTCTAGAACTGGCACAGCTCTGTAACACATGGGTGGTTACGAGTCTGATTCAACTCGATGGCAACACGTATGGTGCTTGGATTTTTGGTCTTTAACCAAATTGTCAAATATCTAACCTTCTTAAGACATGTGAAACTATAAGCAAGACGATGGTCCTTCAGGTCTGGAACGGAACTCAATTCTGTGTTGGAATGATCAGTCATTTAAGATCAAAGGGGGAGCATTGGACTGAGGGCAACTTTCAGAAGATTAGGAAAGGAGAAATGGAAAGAGGAAACTCAGGGAGGAAGTGGGATAAGTGCTGGTACATTAGGAAACTGCAGTGATAAATTGAATCAGAATGTGTACAAATTACTGACTGTAATGATGGTCTGCTCTGTGAACCTTGAAATATGTATAAGCAAGAATTTCTAAAGCATATTTTCCTGTAGAAATGTATATCTTCCTGTGATGATTGAGTTATGAACATGACCCTGTAGTTGGAAAAAGGTGAGGGCTGGTGGCACAGAAATTAGTCACACAGCTGTTAGCTGAAAGATCCTCTGTTTGAGTTCATTAGCCAGTCCATGGGAGAAAGAAGTGGCAATCGTAGTCCATAAAGCTTACAACCTTGGAAACCCTGTGGGCCAGTTCTGCTCTGCTCTGTAGGGTCGTTAAGAGCCAGAGTGAACCTGATAGCACTGAACAACAATTTTTAAAAGGGACAGTGATGCTAAAACTTAGCTGTGTAACCATACTGAAAGGTAACTATCATTTTCATTGAAAGAAATATGAGTAAATATTTTTTTCTTCCATCAATAAGACAACTTATTAGAAGAGAAATATGTTTAACGTTTATGAGTAATCATGTTTCATAGTTTCAGTTTCCTCATCTGTAAATGGGTTCAAGGACAGTACCTCATTGGAGTGTTCTGAAAATTGAATGAAAAATTAATGCCTGTCAAGTGTTTATTCATCAGTTCAAATCATTTCACAGTGTTAATACTTACTGTGCTGCTATGGTGTGGTACTATTTGGTGACCTATAAAGCTCTCTGTGGTCTAGCCTGCTGTGTTTCTCATCTATCTCCTATAACTGCTCCCAAGACTTACCCTTCCTTACAGTAAAGATAGTCATGCTTCAGGATTTGTACACTTAGTATTCCCTCTACCAAAAAACTCTTTCCCTGGATATCTAGATAGCTCATTCTTCCACTTTACTCAAGTCTCTGTACACAGAGAGGCTTTCTCTGATTGTCTTCTCTAAAGCAATGTCACTCTGGAACTGTCGTCTTACCCTGCGTGATTTTTCATTCTTCTTAGTCACCTGACATGTATTTATTATTTGTAGACCCAGACCCACCACCCCTGTAGAATATATGCTGAATGAGAAGAAAATCTTTACTTGGCTCACTCTTGCATCCCAGTTCTTAGAATAGTATCAGGCACATAGTTATCATTTCATATTTATTAAAAAGCAAATACAGAATCTGTTCTTGTTCCTTTCAGGGTGTTCTAAGGATACATTTTATTGAAGCTCAGGATCTTCAAGGAAAAGATACTTATCTTAAGGGACTTGTCAAGGGGAAGTCAGACCCCTATGGAATTATTCGAGTTGGCAACCAAATCTTCCAAAGCAAAGTTATCAAAGAAAATCTTAGCCCAAAGTGGAATGAAGTTTATGAGGTAAAATGTTGAATCAAGTAATGTAAACTGGTAGAATGGGGTAAACACTAAACAAGGGTGCCTGAATTCTAATTGTCATACAGTGGTATGATTAATTTAAATATTATTTTAAATGCTCTTAGCTTTAACTTTCCATCTGTATAAAACTGTTGCTTTAATTTTCTATGTGTATAAAACTATTGCCCAGAAATAGGCCCACATGAGTATAATCAATGGTCTTTAGTAAAGAAGCAGACACATAATTCAATGATGAAAGGATTGCCATTTTAACAAATAATACTGGAACACCTGAACACCAACACACACACACACACACACACACACACACACACAGAATGTAGATACACATGCCTTTCACAAAAAAGAACTCAGAATAGATCATACACCTAAATGTTAAACACAAAACTAGACAACTTCTGAAGATATAGTAGGAGAAAATCTAGATGACTATGGGTTTGACAATAAGTTTTTAGATGTGGCAGCAAAAATATAATCCATGAAACAAAAATTTGCTAAGTGAGACCATTAAAATCAAAAGCTTCTGTTCTGTGAAAGACGCTGTTATTCATGGGTGAAAAAGCCACAAACTGGGAGAGAAGACTTGGAAAAAACAACGAGTAAAGAACTTACCCCGACACACAGAGAACACTGGAGACTCAACAAAAGAAAACACACTACCCATTCAAAAAACGAGCTAGCAAGAGATTTGCAGGACACCTCACCAGAGATGTAGATGGCAAATAATCACTTGAAGAGATGCTCAGCATGATGTTATTAAGGAATTGATCATTAAAACAGTGATGAAATACTACACATCTACCACCCAACCAAACGTCCAATCCCATAACCATCCAGGCGATACCAACTAAGAGTGACCCTATTTAGGGTTTCTGAGAGCAGAGAACCTCATCTTTCACTTGCAGAACAGTTGGTGTATTGGAACCGCAGACCTTGCAGCTAGCAGCCCAACGCTTTTTAGTGTGGCCAAAATTCAAAATTCTGGCGATGGCACCAAATGCTGGTGATGATGTGGAGAAACAGGAACTTTCATTCATTACTGGTGGAGAAGCAAAATGATTCCACCCATTTCGAAAGCATGTGGCAATTTCTTACAAAACTAAACATAGTCGTCGTACCATACAGTTCTACAATCACATGCCTAGGAATTTATGCAATTGAATTCAAAACCGTGCATACAAATATTTTTAGCAGCTTTATAATTGCCAAAAATTGGAGCTAGCCAAGATGTCCATTGGTAAGTGAATAGATAAACTTTGATACATCCTACAGTGGAGTATTATTCAGTTACAAAAAGAAAAATAACACACCATCTTCAATGCATATTGCAAGTATTGCAAATAAAACTAGTCTGGGAAAACTACATAGAACGTTATTCCAACTATGTGACATTCTACAGGAGGAAAAACTTCAGAGGCTTAGAGACAGAAAATAAGATGTGGTTCATGGGAGGGGAACAGGGTGACTAGGTGAAACACAGTAGCTGGTGAGGCCAGTAAACTGTGTATGCTGTGGTAATAATGGGTACATGACATCATGCACTTTCGAAAGCCCATCAGATTATACAGCACTAAGAGTGGACCCTAATCACTTTAGATAATATTAATGTGTTAGTACTGGTTCACCAGTTGTAACAAATGTGATTTGTTACATACAAATTCAAAATATTAGTAGACAATCAGTGTACAGTGGGAAAAGAGACACATGAAACTCGCTGCTTTCTACATCATTTTTCTATAAACTGAAAACTCCTAAAAATTAAAATGTATTTCTTAAAATATGTAGATGCACCTTATAGCATTTTTATGAGGTATGTGAAATGCCAGCACATAACACATTTTAAACTTAGTTACATAATACACAATAAATGATGGGTAAAATATTTTCAAGTTGTGAATGGCCTGCCTTTTTCTAATTAAATGTAATATAAACTCATAAACACATATGAAAGTGAAATCAGTTGTGTACTCTTGTGCAAACTTTTCATTTAATGTATCTGTAAATGTCTACATGTTAATATATATTTATGTAATTTTTAGTATCCGTCCCATTGACAAGGTACAATAACATATTTTATTTGCCCAGCATAACCAAGGTTGTTTTAGTTCAGTATTATAAATGTTACTGGGCAGATATCATGTGAATGTATTTTTCTTCAATTGACCAAGTTATCACCAGGTAAAATTTCTTATGTGGAATTGTCAGATCAAACTTTAAGAATTTTTTTAAAGGACTTGATAAATTTTTGCAAAAATGCTTGTCAGAAGCATAGTACAATTTATGCCTTCACCGGCATCCCACTTCCCCACTCACTTATTATGCCTATATATTGCTCCGTTTTTAAACACTAAGTGGTTCCAGAGACAATAAAGTGTTCTAAATGGAAAAACTTGAGCACAGGACATTATAATCTTCTTCTATAAAACTATCCCAGTCAGCGTACAGTACCAGACTTGTGGTTAATGCCCTGTGGCCACGTTTTGGAAGGAGTGAATTTAACACATTGAAATGTAATCCTATATATCTGTAAAAGAAACAGAATGGACTGTTAATATATGGGTAAGCATTTTAAAATAATCTTCCTGTCACCAAGAAATATGTGTGGTTTCCCAATTAAAAAACCAACTATTTGGTACTGAAGAAAAGGGCATGTTAGAATTAATAATCGTTATTGTATTCAAAATTAGTAAAGATGCAAAATAATTACTAATCATTCCTTTTTCAGGCTTTAGTTTATGAACATCCTGGGCAGGAATTAGAAATTGAGCTCTTTGATGAAGACCCAGATAAAGATGACTTTCTAGGAAGGTAACTCTTTTGTGAATATTTGAAAAGAATCACTCTCTTTTTATTTTTTTAATATCACTCTTAAAACTGTAACATAGCAAAAAATTAAATTTGTGTACATGTGATTCACCATAAAACATGTTTTGTTCCTTAAAAATGTCACATTAAGTAAGAAAAGGAAAGCTTCTAAATCTGCAGTATGAATTATGTTAGCCACTGACCACACTCAGTTATTTAAACTAAATTAATCAGAATAAAGTAAAATTAAAGATTAATATCATCAGCTGCAGTAGCCACATTTCACGTGCTGAGTTGTCAGGTTTGGCTAGTGGCTACCATAGCGACAGTGGAGATACAGAATGTTTCCATCATCCATCATACTGTATTGGATACCGGTCCTAGAGTGTAAAAAATGATTTGTAGCTTTCAATGTAAAGACCACTTATCGTCAAGTTGCTGAGTTAATTATTGTGATACTTAGTAATTTACATTCTGCCTACCTGTGGGAATATAAGTATTATTCTTTTGTACTTTAATTTATAGCTAATACAGATGGAAAATTCAAAATAGACTAAAATCCAGTATTTATTACTTAACTGAATTCACTTATTATTTAGTGGGATTTATTGTCAGGATAAAAAAGATATAGAGAAAATTCACTAGAGAGATTTGAATTAATCAGAAATGGTCTTGTTTATTTAGCCAATACTTCAGAATTCACTCATACGGCAATTTAATTGGGTGAAATGGAAAGATTTTTAAGCAGGGCAGTGATTGGATTATATTTGCCATCTAGTAAAACTAATGTGAAAGTTGGATTTTCAGGATTGAAATTGAAGTCCAGGAGACCAATTAGGAAACTCTTAGAATAAACGAGGATGGAGATCATGTGGATCTACACTGAGACATAAATTGCAGGAACAGAGCAAGGAGGTGGCTACAAGAAAAAAAAAACAAAATGGGTATAATCATCTCAAAAACAAACAAAACAGGGTATAATCATCTCATCTGAGTCAAGGGAAGAGGAAAAGATGACTTTCTGGTTTTTGTGGGGGTGATGCTCTGCTCTGAGGGAGTACCTGAGGAGGCCTGTTGAAAGGGAAATGTGGTGGGTTTACCTGTAGACCTGCTGAGTGAGAGGATCCTGGAGGGGCCTTCTAGGTGCAGTGGGAAGTTGGAGTCAAAGTGATAGATCAGTGTGTGGGGATAACTGAATCCATGACAACAGATGATAGTACCAACGGAGAAGAAGGAATCAGAGTGTTGAAATATTTTAAAACCTGTTTGGCACATTGTAAATGGCTATGTTTACCTTCTTCACGATTTATGCCTCAGCTGGGCCAAATTGAATTCTCTAGTCTCACTGAAGCTGGATCCTTCTCTTTTCCTTACCTCTCTATCTTCTCTTCGATGTACAAGCTTGTATATAAAGCTTTAGGAAGCTTTTGAAAGAACCATCTGTTTCTTAATAAAATACACATAGCGTTGAATGAGCCCCTAATACAATGATTTTTTTAAAATACACATAGCAGTTTGTTGCATTTCTGGAATACTTCTTCATAAACAAAAAACACCTTACAGTGGTTTCAATTGTAAGTGTGCTTCTACTAAAATTGTTGATTGTTATTTTTATAGCCTTATGATTGATCTTACTGAAGTTGAGAAGGAACGCCTTTTAGATGAAGTAAGTTTTCTTTATCCTGTTTAGTAAACATTGACAGAGTAGCTACTATGTGCGTAAGGACTTGGTGTTGGCATTGTCATTGTACATGTACAATGCCAGAATCCTAGGTAATATTAATGAACTTAGCATTTGCGTCACAAATATGAGAAACTTGCACCTTTTAGTATTAGCAAAATGAAAGAAATTTAAGAGTCAAATCATAGTATTTATTGAGAACTTACCATGTGCTTGAAATGTTTCAGTATTAGAAACTCTTGTTTTGAACAAATATATTTTCTCCTTCAGGAGTAAAGGTACAGGTATGTGCAAAGCTAATTAGTAACAAAATTTAAATATAATTAAGAGAGGAGATAACATAATGTGAGAAATTATTACATAAAAGGTGAGTACAACTGCATTGAGAATTTAGAGGACGACACTTCTCCAAGCAGGGATATCAATCAATCTATCAAAGTATAGAGTATTCAAAAAGGAAAATTTCATAGTGGCTCCTTCAGCCCCAAACCTGGGTTTCCGAGATTAAAAACCTGTGGTTCTCAACCTTCCTCGTGTCGCGACTCTTTAATACAGCTCCTCATGTTGTGGTGACCCCAACCATAGAATTATTTTCGTTGTTACTTCATAACTGTAATTTTGCTACTGTTATGAATCAGGCAACCCCTGTGAAAGGATCGTTTGATCCCCAAAGGGGCCGCAACCCACAGGTTGAGAACCACTCTTATAAACTGTTTATGGGAATAGAAAGTTCAGTCTTTCTCCCAAGTAGATCCTAGTGGTTTTGAACTGCTGACCATGCAGCTCAAAGCCCAATGCATAACCACTACACTACTAGGGCTCCTTCAAGATATGCTGAATTTCAGATAAGTGTAGCTAACCAGATCAGTATCTACAATCTATTCTGTTGACAATGCGCTTTATCATTCCTATGCTTATTTAGTATTTATTGGACAAATATTTCTTGTGTACATCTTATGTGTCAAGTATTGGGTATACAGTATTGAGAAAAGTAGGTAAAATCCTTGTCTTAGTGGCATTCTGTTAGCACTGAATGCTTGGAAATCATCATTGATTAAATGGTGGAATAACTGTATATGTTATTAATATGTACATAGTGGTGAGTAAAAACAAAGAGATTAGCTTATATGATATTGAAATTGAGATTTTGGAGTCAACGTTTATTTTTTTCCTTGGCTTATAAGTTCCATTAAAGCCCATATATAGATACTAGGTAATATTAGAAAACATTAAAAATTTTCAGATAATCCAAGTTTCATTTATCCTTAAAGCAGGGTAACTACTGTTGCCTCATAGACTTATTGTTAAGCACATACCTAATAGACAATGTTAATATTAGACAAATGTGAAGGATTTACAGTCGTCTCTATCAAGCAGGAAGTACTGTAAGTGCTGCCTGCTGTTAACCAGCAATATCACGTCCCAGCGTGAAGTCGCTGATGCTTAAAGTTCTAAAAGTGGGAATATTCAGTTCTCTACCATTGACTGAGAACAATTGATGTTTCACAGTTAGTGAGCACCTGCTAACATTTAGGGAGACTGGGTTTAATTGGAATTTTGGATTCTGTGTTTAAAAATGGTTTTCTTTTTCAGTGGTTCACTCTGGATGAAGTTACCAAAGGAAAGCTTCACTTGAAACTGGAATGGCTCACATTAATGCCAACTGCTTCAAACCTCAGTAAGGTACTGTGAAGTGTTTTTGCTCTTGATAACCAAACCACTCCTATTAAAATTTTTCACTCCCATCAAATTATTTCCAACACATAGCCACCCTTTATGGAGTTTCCAAGGGTGTAAATCTTTACAGTAGCAAGCACCTTTATCTTTCTCCTGCAGAGTGGATGGTCAGTTTGAACTGCATACCTTGCAGTTAGCAGCCTAACGCATACCCAGCAGTGCCACCAGGGCTCCTTAATTAAAATTAGTCTTTTTGAAATTGTGTTGTAACTTAGTAACTGCAAAAAGAATTACCTGAAAATTGTGAATTTTGTCCTATAAGTCACTATAGGAGTATCAGGGATTGATCAGGATAATGGAATTTTTTTAAATGAGAAATGTATAGGTCATTCATATCTGATTTATAAGGGCTTCCAGTTTTGTGCTTGATAGAATGAAGGGATTTTGACAGCCACAAATCATTATGTAATTGATTTGTTTGAAATAATAATCATTTAAAAGATATTTATTGTTAATCTCTTTATATTGAGTAATATAGAGGTTTATTTCTCTGTCGTTCTCATTTTCTTGAGCATAACCACAGTATAATCAGTTAAGAATTGTCCAAATTTTCCTGAACTATTCCCATTGAGGTGTTTTGTTTTTCTCTTTTCACACCCCATTACTTTTTTAGGTGCTAACGGACATCAAAGCTGACAAGGACCAAGCCAATGATGGTCTTTCTTCTGCATTGCTTATCTTGTATTTGGATTCAGCAAGGAATCTTCCAGTAAGTGATGTAGTGGTAGCCCATTTTGAGTGCTGACTTCCTTCCTAGCAAATCTTGCTTGAAAACCACTGCTCTGTTCAGCCATATGGTACCAGTTGTTTCTGTCATGCTTGTCCTTTCATGGTCATTTCTAGTCTAAGCAGGGTAGAGGCTATAAATTTATATTTGTTTCAAAGGTATATTTTCATGTTGATAAAGTTTAATGAAATTATCTAAGAGTTCCAGAATTACCTTTATTCCAATATGTCTTATGAGGAAATCTCTACTATACCAGAAGAAACAAAGTAGTTTGGAGAAAAGGGCAGCCTGTGAAAAATTACTGGCTATCAAAAAACAATGACCCTAGATGGAAACTGTGTCTACGCGGAAGTGGGGAATAAAGTGAAAAAGATTGGCTTATATGCCCCAAATCCATTCTAATGCTACCATGGCAGGGGTTGAGTTTCCGGCCATGGACAGTTTCCAGAGCGTAAGGTAGGTGAAGAGGCTGCTAGGAAGGGGAAGAGTGATGCTGCTGTTGGAGTATTCTGAGCCTTTTTAAAGGTGCCCAGTTCATCTCTAGCAGAGCAAATAAGGAGGGGAAAAATTCAGAGCCATCTACTCTCAGAGAGAAGGCTTTCTATAGCTTGAAAGCATATGTTTTTGTCTGCATCACAATTGTTTTTGCTCTGGGGGAAAAAAACTTTAGAGTACCATTTTTATAATAACTATAGCCATATAGAAAAATCCTATTCAACCACGTGGAGCATAGTGTGATGTTCCACTGAAATACTTTCAACATTCCTATTTTAGGGTTATTTTAGCATCCTAATTTTTTGATGCCACTTTTTAGTGCCTTTTTACTTGTTTCTATAGAGCTTATCTTTGCTTTATATCATTGTGCAAGTGGCCAATTTTGGTGAAAAACTACTGCCACCAGATACAAAATTTTTTTTTTGCAGTATTGCAAAGTGTCCATTGAATAATTCTTCATGCATAGTAAAACTTTAACTTATTTACATGCTTTTATTTTACTTAATAAAATGGACACAAAAGCAAAACAGCTTTTAATTCAGTGCCAGAACATGGTCTATTAGGGGGTACCAAAAAAAATGGAACCGCCCCCAAAATAAGTATATAAATTTTTTTAATAAAAACCTGTCACCTTCAAAGTACTCTCCATTACACTTAATACATTTGTCAAATCTGCAATTCCATTCTTGGAAATATTTTTCAAACTCATCTATTTGGATAGCTGACAGCACTTCCCTTGTTTTCTTCTTAACCTCTTCTATGTTGTCAAATCACTGTCTTTTTATGCCCCTCTTCATTCACTGAAACAAAAAGAAGTCACATAGAGCAAGGTCAGGTGAGTAAGGTGCGTGGGGCAAAAAAGGCATGCTGATTTTTGGCCAAAAACTTGCACCCTGAGATGACTGCATGATCAGGTGCATTGTTGTGGTGGCAGAACCAGTCCCCCTGTCTGCCACAAATCAGACCTTTTTTGTTGCACACTGTTATGCAATCTTTTCCGAACCTCTAAAATTTAGAGTCTACATGGAAAGCTTGATGAACGGTCTGGCTTAGTGGAACAAGCTCCAAATGCACTAGGAGTCGACAGAAGTCCAGATTGAGGTTTGTCATTAGTCGACATATCACCATTTTTGAAACAAGAAAATGACTTTTCTTATAATAATCATTTTATTAGGGGCTCATACAACTCATCACAATCCGTACATACATCATTTGTGTCCAGCACATTAGTACATATGTTGACCTCATCATTCTCACATTTCCACTTGAGCCCTTGGTGTCAGCT